CACATAAGCTCACCCCATCAGTCAGCTTCCCAGGCTTCCCAATACGTTGAATAGGGAACCAGACCCTAGTCGGTCTCTACCTCCATTCTCCACTTGCCTCCCCAAGCCCTAGCATTCTTTGAATTGTGTTACGATTTCTGGTATCAAACATATCCCTTTTCCTAGGAGCCTTCCAGCTCTTTACTCACAGATCCACAACCTTTTTCATAAGTCTTGTATTTTTTGAAAAACTCATAATTCTTTCTATGTGATTTTAGTCAGTTTACCATGTGGCTTAGTTGTCTCATCTCTAAAAGAGAGACAAATGTAACTTCACTGAGGATAATATTTAAGCGAATTGGTTATTTTGTAGGGCTCATGGTAATAGTGTACTTTTCCCTAAATGCTACAATTGATAATATAGTGGCCAAAATATCCTATTAATAACTTCACATAGTTCACAATTACTGCCGATCCCAATTTTAAAAAACATTTTTTAAGTATTTCTTTAAAATTTTTAAATTTTATTTTAGTCCTATCTGGATCAACATATTCTAGTCTCTTTAGTCAAGGCTCTAAAGGTAGAAGCTGGAATCATGAACATTCTATTCTTCAATTATTAAAAATATTATAACCTATAACAACAACAGCATATGTATGGAATATTTACTGATCCAGATTCTCACATAGTGAATAACAACAAAAGAATTGCATTTGTCCTTGTCTTCCTTAGAAAGAAAGCCTTTAGAATCAAATTTCTGTCCTTTGCTCTGAAAATTTTATTCACATTGAAGCAGTATAGGAATATTAAATAATAGTGGATGTTAACTTCTCATTGAAGATAACGATGTAATTTTCCTTTCCTCCTCCTCAGATGAATCCAAGGCAGTGGAGCCATATCTCTGAAAGTGCCAAAGACCTAGTACGCCGCATGCTGATGCTGGATCCCGCTGAAAGGATCACTGTTTATGAAGCACTGAATCACCCATGGCTTAAGGTACATGAGCACATAGGTCACCATCTACACTTGGTTTGAACACTTCCAGTGACATGAACATATTGTTCTATAAGGTAGCCCTTTTTACCTTTTCTTTTTCCTGAGCATTTTTCATTAGTTTTTGTTCATCTTGTTTGCTGTTCCTGCACATCATCTGCAAACATCTGAATAGAGAATATATTATTTGAGTGTCAGTCAGCTATTAATCAGACAGAGGATACAAGAGGATTGAGACAGAATACATCAGAGAGGAAGGCCTATTTGTTCTCTGCCAACAAGTTTCAAAGATATACAACATGAACAACTAAAATAATACCATGTTTTAATAATTGTCTTTATTTTGGGTGTGACTGTGTGCTTTATAGCATCAACTATTTTTCATTAAATACTAGATATGAATTTACTGTCTTAGGAGAAAGGCAGATTTTAAAAATTCTTTTTATATCCCATCCTGCCAATGAGTATTAAGGAAAATTATAACTTGAGATGTCAATGAAACAGTACTATTTGACTAAGACATTATACAGTTCACTAATTCCAGGAAATTCTCACTTTACAGGTTACAAAACTAATGCTCAGAGAGGTTAACAATCTTGCCCAAGGCCAGGTGTGGTGGCTCAAGCCTGTAATCAATCACTTTGGGAGGCCCAGGTGGGAGGATCTCTTGAGGCCAAGGAGTTAGAGACCAGGCTGAGCAACATAGTGAGACAAAAAATAGAAAAACTTAACCAGGTGTGGTGGCACGTGCCTGTGGTCCCAGCTGCTTGGGAGGCTGAGGCAGGAGGATCACTTGAGCCCAGGAGTTTGAGGCTGCAGTGAGCTGTGATCATGCCACTGCACTCCAGCCTAGGCAACAGAGCAAGACCTTGTCACAAAAAAAAACAAATCTTGTCTAAGTCACAGAAGTTGTCAGCAGTGGAACCAGGATTTTAAATTCAGCCTACCACTACCCTTTCATTTGTGTGCTAGATCCTATCCCTTTTGCTTACTCAACAACATTGACCCAACAACTTCTTCCTTTCCTACATCATCAGTTTTCTATCTCTATTGGATCTAACATGCTATAGCTTATTTTTATTATATACATACACATGCACACAGCCCCCCACACCTCTTCTCTTAACCCAACAACCCCCTCAAGCTGCTTCTGCCCCTAGTCTCTGCTTCTCTCTCTCTGTTTTTTGTTTTTGTTTTTTTTCTTTTTTCTGAGACAGAGTCTCATTCTGTCGCCCTGGCTAGAGTGCAGTGGTGTTATCATAGCTCACTGCAACCTCCAACTTCTGGCTCAAGCAATCCTCCTGCCTCAGCCTCCCAAGTAGCTGGGACTACAGGTGCATGCCACTGCACCCGGCTAATTTTCCTGTTTTTGGTAGAAACAGAGTCTCCCTCTCGCTCAGGTTGGTCTCAAACTCCTGAGCTCAAGCAATCTTCCTGCCTCAGCCTCCCAGAGTGCTAGGATTGCAGGCGTGAGCCACTGCACCTGGCCCTAGTCTCTGCTTCTCTTGACAGCAAAACTCCTCAAAAGAGTTGTCTGTACTACTCATGTTCTTCCAGTTTCTCCCATTCCTCTCTCTTGAATCCACTCTAGTCAGCATCACAATCCTATTAACTCCACTAAAATAGATCTTGTCAAGTCACTACTGACCTTCACATTGCTAAGTCCAGTTGTGACATCCCAGGGCTTGGCCTTCGTGGCCGATCAGCAACCTTGGACATCCATCCTCCTAAAATGCTTCCCTTGGCTTCCATGACACCCCTCTCTCCTGGTTGCCCTTCTACCTCTCTGGCTGTTCCTTCTCAGATCTTGCTGATTTTTTTCTCATTTCCCCACACCCACCTCTCTGCATTGGAATGCTATAGGCCTCTGTCCTTGCTCTTCCTCTTTTTCTTTATTGAAGGTAGAAAAATGCAAACTGTTTTTCCTCTGCTCTCACACCACACAACAACAATCAACATAGAAAACCAGAAGACTTCTGTGACCAAATGTGTGGGAATTTCTCCCCATAAACAAGCAAGCAATCAACCCTGAAATGGACACCAGCTGGGTGTCCTCTAATTCAATTCTGACACTACCTATGTGCAGATAGCATCAGATCCCACAGATTGAGGGCTCAGACCCAGAAGACCATATCCCACCTTCAGACACCAGTCACAAGTCCAGGCCTCTGGAACTTCTGACCAACCAGCTATAAACTGGGACCCCATGACCCCTTCCACTTTGGGTTCAATTAATATGGTAGAATAGCTCACAGAACTCAAGAGAAATACTTACTTACGTCTACTGGTTTATCATAAAGGATATCACAAAGGGTACAGATGAAGAGATGCATAGGGTAAGCTACGGAAGAAGGGGTGCAAAGCTTCCATGCCCTTTCTAGGTGCACCACCTTCCAGGAACCTCCACGTGCAAAGCTATCCAGAAGCACCCTGAACCCTGCCATTCTATATCAGGTTTTATGGAGGCTTTGTTACATAGGTATGGTTGATTAAACCATTGGCCATTAGTGATCAATTAGCCTTTGGCTCCTCTCCCCTCCTCAGAAGTAGGGAGTTGAGGCTGAAAGTCCCAGCCCTCTAATCCTGCCTTGGTCTTTCAGGTGACCATCCTCATCCCGAAGCTACCTGTGGGCTGCCAACCATCAGTCAATAATACAAGCATACAAAAAAACACGACTTTGGAGATTCTAAGGATTTTAGGAATTGTATGCCGGGAAACAGAGTCAAAGACCAAACGTATATTTTATAATATCACAGTCTACCTTTGGTCATCGAACCCAGATTCCTTACATCAAAAGAATGTACAACTCAAAAGACACTGCCACATTACTAGAATCTCTTCCAATCATTAATAATTAGTACAGTCCATCATCATATTGTGTGAATATGTTTCCCAGGGTGAGCCATTCAGGTTTGTAGACTTCCATTGATCTTGTCAAGTTCCGAAAGCAGGAGTGGTCTCTGCTAACATATGCCTTTCAGGCATTTGGTATCATTGAACTAAGAGACAGTGTCATCTCTTACTCTGAGCCTCTTTCAAATTATCAGTGTAATACTGGATGTCCCTGAATTCACAGCCCATTTATTTATTCCTTTACCCTCAGGTGATATTCTTCTCTGTATTAATGACCTTTGCAAGGGACATTAGAATCGACACTGTGCTGGTCTAGACTGCAGGCAGCAATACTAGTCTAGCAAGTGCCTCCGCCTCAGTCCACTCCCATTCATATTGGGTAAGGCTACATAGGTGCAAAGCTACTGAGCTATTTTTACCACCAGGCAATATGGCTGTATTCACTCTTAGCCCCAATTTTGCCAAATGGAGTAAAGGCACAACCCACCCCCATCAGGCCTTAGGAATTCAGACATAAGGTTTAAATATATTAGTTATTGTTTCTTGCTTGGGAATCTTCCCTACTACTGGAAGGTGCAGTTGCAGCCCTAGTCCTAGGACCACTGTATCAGGTAGGGAAAAGAAAAAAAAAGCTGAGGTGATGTGGGGAAGAAAGAAAAAAATATAACCATCATACCAGCATACTCCTCCCTTAGCAAGAATTGCACAGTCATACCAGCATCTTCCTCCACCTCCTCTTCCCCACATCAACCAGGTAAACGGGAAAATCTAGTGGGGACACTCCTTTAGCCCCACTCATGTTAAGTGAGTAAGCACACACCTGTGAAGACAAGTAAGCCAGCCCCTCATGCTTTTATCTCCCCTTGCTTTAGACAGCCAATGTTTTAATTGCCCATTCTACTTCTCTAACAAGCTATTAATCTAAGGAAAATATGTCTCTGCCAATTGTTGAATATTATGGGCTGTATAGTGTGTTCCTTGGCCTGAAGAAATGATGTTCAGCTGTCCAAATACATGCAATATCTTCTCTTCTGTTTTTTTATGGCATTCTGAGCATTCGCATCTTCCACAGGTTAAGCAAAGCCCAGTCCAGAGTCAGTGTCTATTCTCATCAATACCCATTTGTAGACCCCCAGAGCTACGAGCACCAGTCTCACTTACCAGCTATGTTCAGGGCCTTCTCACCACGAAATCTACCCCATACTCGTCATCACTTTTTTTGTCTTTTGCTGGCAAATAGAACACTCTTATTGGCATTTTGTGCCTGAGAAGGGTACAAGAGGAACGTGTCTAGATTCAGCCCATCTCTGCACTGCTGCAGTAGCCCCTTAACCATGCATTTCATGAACCCAGGTGGCCACCTCAAGGGAGCACACGGGGATCTCTGCTTGTCAATTCCAATCAGCTTCCTAACCTGGAAGGGGGCTCTTCTGATGGGCATCGACATTTCCTACTTTAATGCACCCCCTGAAATTTCCATAGGGCCATGCTCCATAGGGGCATCCCTTGAAAGGGCAGGTTTCCATTGCCCTTCTGCCCGACCATGTGACCAGGCTACTTGCCAGTGGTCATGAGTCAGGAAAAGCCCAAACACAAGGATTTCTACCATTTGTTCAATTATTTCATCACTGCTAGGAAAATAGCATGTAATTCAACCCAACAAGCTAATTTGTTTTTTACCTTCTTTGATCAGAGTAGCAGCCATCCAAGTAGGACGTTGTCCCTTCACCTTGGAATTGCCATCTACAAACCCAGTAATTCTTGGGTGTTCAGTTCAGAGTTGTTTATAGAGCATTGTCCAAGTGAAAGTAGAATCCAATAGCTCCTCACACAGTTCCAGAGTCAGTCCTAGGGGAAACAGAGGCTCCCTGCTTGTGAATCTCCTCCTGACAGTCCCCAGATAGCATGAACACATCTAAACCATTTCCATTTTATTATGGAACTCTTCTGGGCACTGCCATCCCCATTAGAGTAATTTTTTGCCACCGCCCAAGACATCATAGGTATTTCAGGTGTCAATATCATTTTATGTCCTTCATTCATAAAAGTGGCTTCAGTTAATATCTCATAACAAGGCAGTAAATGCCCCTGAATAGAAATTCTGTGGTCCAAAGTCCCAATAGTCCTCACTGGGAGGTGTTCACAGGCT